TGTAAACAGTTACAACTATGAAACAAATAAAATACCAATATGTCAACTTTAAAATGTGAGAATTTTTGTAAATCTCTCTTTTAAATCATGTGGTGTATCACATCATCTTTTCACTCTTGTTGCTGTATGCCATCAAGTCACCTGTGACGCACAGCAATCCTATGTACAACAACTCTAAAGTCTGTCATATCCTGAGTTAGTGTCACTGACTCTGACACACCTTAACCCATTACCCCCGTTACCAAGTCAGTCCACTTCACCTGGGGCTCTCCTCTCCAGTGCTGTCTGTCCCTTCACCCTTCCAACAGCATGCCCTTCTCCAAGGACTGGTCCCTCCTGGCCACATGTACAAGGCGTGTAATATGGAGATTCAAAATACTTGCCTCCAAGGAGAAATTTGGTTTCATCCTCTCCAAGGGTGAACCTGCTCTCTTGGTGGTCCGTGGTATGTTCAATACTCTTCTTCAGCACCAAAACTCAAAGACATTGATTCTTCATTTGTCATCCTTGGTCACTGTCCATCTCTCCAATGCATAGCAAGTAATTGGAAAGATCATGGCCTAAATCATGTGCACCTTAGTCTTTAGACTGATATCATTACTCCTTAGTACTCTGGATAGGTTCCTTACAGCAGATTTTCCCAGTTATGTTATACAGATGACACAACCCTGCTTGCTGAAACAGAGGAGGACCCGAAACGCTTGGTGCAGAAGGTCAAGGACTGCAGCCTTGAATATGGATTGAAGCTCAACATCAAGAAAACACAGATTGCACGCCCATGTTTATTGCTGCTTTGTTCGCAATAGCAAAGAGTTGGAAACAATCCAAGTATCAACAAACAGAGAAGCTGTGGTATATTCACACAATGGAATATTATGCAGCACTGAAAAACAAAGAACTCATGAGATAGTATACAAAACGGGTGACCATGGAGGACATTATGCTGAGTGAAATATCAAGTTACAAATGAACAAATACTGCATAATGCCACTGTTATAAAATAGGACTGATATGGGGGTTGGGGGGAAACTAAGAAAAGAGGGGATAAATAGTGTACATGGCATTAAAACAGATGAGGGAGAGAGCTGTATAAAAGGAATATATGATTAGATATTCTTGGCATGACAAAAGTCCAGAATAAGAGCTGCATTGTAAAGTGGTCTGGGCATGGTGGGGGGGGGGAATTGTATAACAATGAAATAACTTTTTGTAAAAAAGAAAACCGGTGGGGACGGGAGTCAGGGAGGAAAATGTGCTACAATGAATGAACGGAAATCCAAGTTCTTTATACACTTTCATTAAAATGTCAATTTAAAAAACAGGAAAACAAAGATTCTCACCACTGGGCCAACTGGCAGCATCATGACAGGTGGTAAAGAGATTGAGATTGTTAACAGCTTTAGTTTGCTTGTCTCCATAATCAACACACTTGGTACCAGTAGCCAGGAAATCAAAAGAAGGATTGCACTGGGAACGTCTGCTGTCATGGACCTATCCAGAGTACTGAAGAGCAATGATGTTACTCTGGGGACTAAAATGCACCTAATTCAGGCCATAGTCTTTACAGTTACTTGCTATGCGTCAGAAAGCTGAACAATGACTAGAGGTGACAGAAAGAGAACTAATGCCTTTGAGCTGTGGGTCTGGAGTTGAGTATTGAATGTACTATGGACCGCTAAGAGAACAAACAGGTTCATCTTAGAGAGGCTGAGACCAGGCTGGTCCTTGGATGCAAGGATTCTGAACTTCATCGAACATACTTGGGCATGTTGCTAGGATAAACTAGTCCTTGGAGAGGGATGTCATGCTTGGAAGGGTGGACGGAGCGCATTAGAAAGGAAGACCCTTGATGAGACAGACTCATCACCAGTGACTGGGATAATGAGGTTAGGTGTGTCAGATGCAAAAACATGGGTACAGGATACATCAGGGTTCAGGGCTGTTGTACATAGGGTCACTATGTGTCGCAAATGACTCCACAGCACCTAACAACAACAGAAACAAAAATTTGTCTGAATTTCCTGACTGCTAGTGCCAAGAGTTTTGACTGTGGAGCCAAGCAAGCTATAATTGTTAACATCCTCAATCTCTTCTCCATCTATCATGGGGCTGCCAACTGGCCCAGTGGTGATAATTTTTGTCTTCTTGATGTTGAGCTTCAATCCATATTGAAGACGACAGTCCTTGACCTTTTGCAACAAGTGCTTCAGGTCTTCCTCAGTTTCAGCAAGCAAGGTTGTGTCATTTGCATATCATTGGTTGTCAATGAGTCTCCCTCCAATCTTGATGCCATATTTCTCCTCATAAAGCCCTACTTCCTGAATGATCTGTTCTTCACACAGATTGAAACGGTATGGAGCCAGGATGTATCCCTGACACACTCCTTTCCTGATTTTGAACCATGAAGTGTTTCTTTGCTCTGTTCCAAGGACTGCTTCCTGGTCTGAGTATAGGTTTTGCACAAGCATGGTCAAGTGTTCTGGGATTCCCAGTGGTTTAAAATCATATATTAATAAAATGAAAACAATATACTCCACAAAATACCTAAGACTTAGTTTTATACTGAAAGTATACCTGACAAAGCTTAGCTATTTAGTTTGCTGTTGTTGCTATGTGCCTTTGAGTAAACAACTCACTGGTACTCTATGAACAATTGACCTGAAACTTGTCTTATCCTGTGCCTATCATGTTACTTAAACACTCAACATAATAGACGCGATGCTGTTGATTTGGAACCGACTCTTGTCTGATCCACCAGTGGATTGTTGCTGTTGTAGAAGCTATTGCATTAGGGTCACATTGGTGACCCTACAGCGGGTTTTCAGAAGAAGTAAATCACAGAAGTGTTGACTATCCACGTTTCCCCAACGGAGGAGCTGGCAGATTTGAACGGTGTGCCTTTGGGTTGACACACAATTCCTCACGCTATAAACCACAGAGCCACAGAGGAGACTGCTCATCTTTCTCCTGCAGAACTGCTGGTAGATTCGAACTGCCCACCATTGGGGTGGCAGCACAACTCCCTATTCTTTCCTTAGATCCTGTTGCATGCATAAGTTATAGTTATATTATGTGTTTTATATTTTTATTTTACATTTATTTACAGATATATATATATATATATATATAATTTTCAGTAGCTTCTCTAATCGAATTGATAATTATGAGTGCCTCTCTTCAAAGATCCAAACATAAAGATATATAGGGGTAACAGTCCAATCCCATTTTTCTGAGAGGAATCTCCACCCACAGATTTGCAGACAGACCATGGAAAGATACACTACAAGTGTAAGAACTACCCTCTCTGTGTATTACACTGTTGCCAGGTGTGACTGAGTCCACTGCGACCCCACCCACGGCAGAATTAAACCCTGTCTGATCCTGTGCTGTCCTCACACTCTCTGCTTTGCCTCAGCCCATTGCTGCAGTCACTTCACTGATCCACCCCATTGAGAGTGGTCCTCTCTTTGTTGATCCTTCACCTTTCCAGACAGGATTTACTTTTCCAAAGACTGGACCCTCCTGACCACATGGCCAAAGCCCATGAAACCAAGCCACTGCTTCTAAGGAGCCACGCGGTTGCACCTCTTCCCCGGCAGATCTGTTTCCTATGTTGGCTGCCTATGGTCTGCGTATTCTTGGGTGATGGTGCTGATATTAGTAGGTAACTTCATAGTTTTTTCCAGAAATGCAGTGCTTCCTAGTCTTTGTATTTTCCTACTTCTACAGTTTGTGGTTAGGCACATTCTACTCTTGGAATAAGAGACAATAACAGGTATTAAAATATTAAACAGGACTCACACACACATAAAGGGAAAAAGAAGGAGCAGAAATAAGCAGGAAAGATGGGTATCCACACAGAGTCTGCAGCACACGAGGTGAATGGGAAGGTTTGGCCTGAACACTGGGAGGGTTCGCGCCTCCTTACCTGGGATCAGGAGGCCACAGGGCCCTAGAAACTCTAGGGGCAGGTCACATTGAGTGAGACAAAACAAAAGCAGAATTGAATTGTTAGAAACCCTGACCTGAAAGGCATTTCCAGACACTGTGTACTGTGGGATTCATCTTATATTCTCTAATTCATTTATTCTTTCTTTCCAATTAATACTCGCTGACACTTACTGGAGAAGTATATGTCTTTACCTGCCTATCATGAGTAATCCCAAGCACAAACGGAAAAGGTCCAATGGAAAGAGTTCTTTTTATTGACATTTTTGCTCTACCTTTGACCTCCTGGGTAGGGATGTCTTCTTTTTCTTTTAAAAACTAATGTAGTGGTTTTAGGGTGGGAGTGGCTGCTATGACGACGCCACTGGAGAAGGGGTCACAGCTGGAGAAAGGAGGTCATCTGGAGAAAAGGGCACAGGTTGCTGTGTGGTTGCAAAAAAAAAATATTTGGAGATCATCCCATGCCACAATACGAGGTGAACCCACGGACCACAGAGATTCTGTGTCACCTGTCAGAATAGAACAAGACCTGGAACAGGAATGTCTCCCTAGAATTAGAGGACCTGAAACAGAATGCTAGCAAGTATGAATCAGAAGCTAAGCATCTTCAAGACCTTCTAATGGAGAGTGTGAGTTTTTCCCCTGCCAAGCTCTCGAGTGCTGGTTCCCAATATCTGAATGCTTTGGTTCAAATTGCAGTGGTGCTTGAAATAAAGGACACCTCACTAACTATACTTTCATTCATGCAGTAAATTAGTAGAACAACAATCTTTTTCATATCAAATCCAGACGTGAAGAGATCAACTCTGAATTATCAAAACTTGAAAACTAAAAATCTAACTGGAACACTAATGTTAGAAAAATGTCTACAAGAAGACCAGATCAACAGATGTATCTGAAGAATGAACTAAAATGTCAATCAAGATTATTTTTTGCAATCTGGTCAGTTTTAAAACAGTGACTGAAACAAACAAACAAAAAATCCCTAATAGAGTGGTTTTAAAACAAAACAAAAGAGCTTAAAAGCCTAACGGAGTACAAGTCTTACTTACCTTCACAGGTGAATTTTACAGAGGGAGTAGTGAGTAGGAGTTTATCTGCCATTTCTCTAGGACCAGCGCAGCGAGCGATTCCTGGCTCCTTGTATCCTGACTTTACCCAGTCAGACAACCACTGCATATTACAGTCACAATAGAGAGGATTGGCACCAATTGCTCTGAAAAACACACACACACACAACCACACCAAAAACCAAAACCATAATCACATATATGCACATGAAGCATTGCTTATACCTGGAGGGTACATATCCCAAAGGAATCTTCAGTATAAAGTTCCCACATATTTACTGAGGCAAATTAGAAAGAAGAAAATAAAAGATGGGTGCTCCCCATCTCTCTGAATTATGATCAGTGGCTTTGATGAGTTGTCTAGACCAGTAATATCTAAAGAGATAGGTTTACACTAATCTCTATGCAGCTCCTAACTACAGGCTCATATTTCATTTAAAATTACTTAACACTAGCATCGTCCCAATAAGAATAACATTATTTCATTGACCAGGAATTCAAGTTGTTAGTGTGACAGAGAGGTTAATGTATGCCAGTATTATACAATCATTTTAATTAGGAATGTTCTTGGAAAAGTATGTACAAACTAACTATAAATAGTATGACTAACATTTTGGGAGATGAGGAAGGCTATTGATCAAATAAGTAATGGAAAAATGCACACCCATATTTATTGTAACACTATTCACAATAGTAAAGATATGTAAACAACCTAAATGTCCATCAATGAACGAATGGATAGAGAAAGGATGGTATATTCACACAGCAGAGTACAATGCAACACCGAAAAATAATGAAGGTTTGTGAAACACTATATAAGATGCATATGTCAAGGGGACATTATGATGACTTAAATAAGTCACTCAAAAAAAGGACAAATACTATATAAGCCCATTCTTATAAAAAGCTAGAGAGAGGTTTACATACAGAAAGAATCATTCTGGTATGGTTAAGAAGGTAGAGAAGAAGGGAGTAGAAAATAATTACCATATACTAAAAACTTATTAAGACTGGGGAAGGGAAACACGATATACAACGAGCTGATGATCAGGCATTGTGCATGTTGAAATTGATGTTATGAAACAAAATTTGCATGAATGGTTAACTGAAAAACTCAAACCAAAACAATATGCTTTTAAGCTTTCACTCAAATCACAAAAGAACCCAAAACTATGCTCACTTAAAAACATGGCTTAGAGCCAACTTGAGTGAAGAGGAAAAAGCATGTTGGGTTCATAAGTCAGCAAGTAAAAGGAACACCTATGAGCTGAAATCAATTTGATAGCAACTGGTCTGCCTTTAATGGTTTTAAGTGCAAAGCACAGAGACATCCATTGATAAGGGCACCGAAAACGAGCTCAGCTCATCTTAACTGGGCATCTAAAACAACAGACGTTAGTGTATGCCAACGAGTAGGAACAGACCAATAGCTGACCTTCCAGTGGGCTTTTAGATGCAGTCAATCACACACAAAAGAGACTGCCCATTTTTATCCTGCGGAGGTTTGCACCATGTACCTTTGAGATTGCAGCACAGTCTCTGATCTCTAGGTCAACAGCCCTCCTATAAAACAATGGTAGCAATAGCAAAAGCAATAAATCACTACTGTTCTATTGTATTATCATTATTGGTAGGAATATGGCTAACAATTTCTATGGAAATTTATGATGTCAACATTACTAACAATTACTTTATAGATTAAGAAACTGAGGTCAGAGATGTTATCTAATTGGCCAGCAATCCACCAAGATAAGTTCAAGAAGTAGATGTTTACAATAGCATTTCAAAAAGGGTAAGTTTTTATTTATAATTTCTTATTACTAACTTCTTGAAATACAGTCCAGGAAAAACCAGTATTTTTCTCTTAATAGGCAATCCCCAAAATGTATTTGTAAAAACTATATTGGAACAGCGTTAATACATAGCTGTAATGAAAAATCCCAATGAGTGCTATGCATATTTGAATTGCTACCTCCAGATTAAAATCTTTCTTCTAAATTAAAAATAAGCAAAGGCAGATAGTGCAAATCTCTCAGCTGCTCCATGGGAGAACTATGGGCAATCACCTCTTGGACAATTTACAGCCTCTGAAAACCCTCTGGAGGGTGAGCTACAAGTCAGGTTCAACTTCAAGACCCAGACAACAGTAATAACCAGTGAGTTAGGGAGGCATGTTCATGAAAAGAAGCACTTCTAGGGAAGGAAAGACAAAGTCAGCTAACAGAGGTTAAAAGATAGAAAGCTACATTAAAGCTCAATCTTTGAGGTGGAAATACTACATTTTCATGAATGAATGAATGAAGCAACAGCAAGTCATAGAGTTATAATAAACAGGGTGGCAGTGAACTGTCTTTCAAAATCACTGTATAGAGTCACTTGAAAAACCCTGAAGTGTTGACCAGTTACTCACAGATGAGAGAGCGCAGCGAGGTCATTGAAAACGCCTTCGGGGACAGCAGAAATGTCATTCCCATGCAGGGAGCTGAAAGCAAGAAAGAGAAACAGTCTACTTCTTGTCTTTCAGAGAGTCCAGGAAAATTTTCATCCATGCTTAAGACTTCAGTGACAATTTTTTAAATCAGTGAGAAATGATGGTGTACTTCAGAAAAGAGTCCTAGTACCAGTGGCCATGTACTGGGCTAGTTCTCATTTCACACAATATGTACAGTTACACAAGATTAAAGATCTAAAATTTAAAAGAAAATTAAATAGTTTATTTATTTATTTTTTAATTAGAAGTACTTCGAGGGAGGGGTGGGCAGGGAGAAAAGTGTAACAACGAATGACTGGAAACCCTAAGTCTCTGTAAACTTTCATTAAAATTAACTAAAAAAATTAGAAATGTTTTAAAAACATGAATCGTGAAAGATTTTGACAAATACAGTATCAACCTGTGAACCGAAGGAGAAGACTGACTAATGTCAACAACACCAAGATATTCACCTAGTGAAGATTCCATATAAAGTACAGCATGGTACCTTATCAGTGTAGTTTATATAACTAATAAAATATCCATCCTTTTACCAAAAAAACCCCTTGTAATATCTACGCTAAGATAAATTACCCACCAGAAAAAGTGAGTCAATGAACTGATTAAAGAAACACAGGTATGTAAAAAACTGTCATCCCCAAATGAAATCAATGCTAAAACGCTTCTATAAAAAAATGTACAGACGTTCATTTTAGCACCGTAGACAACAGTGTAAAAGAAAAAATGAAATAAAGGGATAATACATAAAATTGATCAAATCAGTTGTGATTCCTCCATCATTCACCTGATGCAGGACATCAGAAAAAACACTGAGGAATACCTATTTGTAATGGGTCGAAAATATTCTAATGCATATCTGGAATACTTCAAAGTGGTAGCTGGTTAGTTCTGAGGAGACTAAAATTGAAGCTGTCAAAAGCAGTTTCAGTGACATTAAAAGCAATCTTTTACAACAAAGAAAGACTACATTCATGTATTAGGCAATTTTTAAAAAGAGTCTTTTTCTGTATTACTTTCCAAATATGTTGGAGTTAGGTAAAGTATATAACTTGATGTTCTATGTTGTCAGATGCATAATGACAGCAACAAGAATTACAAAAGAAATAATACAGTCCTCCAAATCAAGCACATACTACAACATTGCATTTCTAGTTCTAAATGTACAGTAAATCTCTAGAGCCTATGCTAAAGTACTTAGAATAAATGATAAGTACTTACAAATGATAAGTACTTTAGCACAGGCTTTACTTATACATTGTTGGTGGGATTTTAAAATGGTGCAACCATTCTAGAAGGCAGTTTGGTGTTTCCTCAAAAAACCTGACCATAGAAATTCCATATGACCCAGCTATTCCACTACTTGGAATATACCCTGAGAATACGAGAACTGAGGCACAAACTGAGACTCGTACACCAATGTTCATAGCAAAATTATTCACCATCACAAGAACATGGGAACAACCCAAATGTCCAACCACAAATGAATGGATTGAGAAATTATGGTACATTCATTCACACAATGGAATACTATGCAGCACGCAGGAGCAATAATTTTGTAAATTATTGCCCAATTTAGGAGGAACTGGAGATATTATTCTGAGTGAACTAACTCAGTCCCACAAGGATAAATAGTGCATAAAACTGTTACTGTATGATGAGTATAAAGATGCAGGAGGGGTAGGAGAGGCTGGAAGCAGAGGGATGTGGATGTGCAGGGGGAGGAGGGGATTAATCATTGGGTTGTACAATTTGATGGGTGGGGGGTGTGAGTAAAATTGAAAGAATTTGTTCAAATTTGTATTTGAACTTTGTAAATAAACTAGTAGAAAAATAAAAAAAATAAAGCACTTATAAATGATTGAGAGCACTAAAAGCACAATCTTTAGATGCCCTAGAAAAGCAGCTGTTCCAAGTGCAAGAAGCTTACAGCAATCGAAGTGACTTCAGTCCATCGAAAGTGCGTGGAGGGATGCATCTGAGACGGTTGTAGCTGAGAATTCTGAAAACACAAGTAAATCGATTTGACTTTTCTCTGCTGTTCCAAAACAACCAGATGACATGTTTCATGTAAAACCAGTAGAAAAAGTTATTTCAGTATCTTTTAAATGAAGACTGTTAAGACTTAATACACATTTCTCTTTCTGTCTTGTTTCTCTGTTGTTATGAACCATCAAGTTGGAACTGACTCATAGCTGACCCTCCACTGGGTTTTTAGGGGCAGTAAATTGCATGAGAGGAGACTGACCCTCTTTCCTCGGTGGATTCAAACCACAAACCTTTGGGTTGACTGTGTAATTGTCTACCACTTCACCACCAGAGTTCTCTTGTCTCACTAATACAATGTATGTATTAATTTATTAAGTACAGCCGAGAATAGGGAGACGCTCCAGTGGCCTAGCGGAAAGAAGCTGTGCTACAATCCCAAAGGCAGGCAGTTCAAGACCACCAGCTGCTCCACAGGAAAAGGATGGACAATCTCCTCCCGTGCGATTAACTGGCTCTGAAAACCCCCCTGGAGGGTCAGCTATGAGTCGGTTCTGACTCTACGGTACGTAACAACAGCTGAGAATGCTTCCCTGTCTACAGCCTTCTGTCTTATCTGGCAGGTAACACTGTATTTCCTCTAACTCCATCACATATATAAATTCAATATATTTTGTAATATCTGTTGTTGTTAGGTGCCATCAAGTCAACTACGGCTCATGGTAACCTTTCAAACAAAAGATTGAAACCCTGCCCTATCCTATGGCATCCTCTCGATTTCTGCCATGTTCCAAACTCCTTCCTCAGTCTTATTGTCTGTTTCCTCCAAATAGAATTGATGTTCCACACAGTAAGATATTTTTTCTGTTTTGTTAATCAGCAACATAAGAAAAAGAAGGCATTTCATGCAATGAATGAATGAACGAACCCTCAGGACCACATTTTCACACTTACAGGGTGAGGAGCTGGGTCATGTTCCTGAAGCTCTGATTAGAAAGGGTGCTGATTCGGTTATTGCTTAAGTCTCTGAAAGAGAAAACAAAGAGAAAATGGAATCTAATATCATCACACAACTTGAAACTTTAGTGAATTTTAGAAAAAGAAGGTTCCTTCTGTTCAAAGCAGTACCGCTAACACTAGGGTATTATCTGAAAATAAGAAAACACTGGCTTATTCCCGATAGGAGGCTGCATTTTTGCTCATCTTCTACCATGCTGAAATGAGAAATGGCCAGGAAAATAAAACTCACAGTGACTCCAGGTGCAACCTGTTCCATACACTTTTCTTAGCTGCAATTTTAAAGATGGTAGATCTTCAGGTCTTGCTTCCGTGAGACCTCTTGGTGCGTTTGAACTATTACCTTTTAGGTTAGTTGTTGTGTGCCATCAAGTTGGAACCAACCCATAGCTGGCCCTCCAGTGGATTTTCAGAGGTTTAAATTGCACAGGAGGAGACTGCCCATATCATAGCTGATGATATGGAACCACGTACCACGTATCACGGTGTTGGCAGTGCAATCCATTACCACTAGGGCATCGGACAGGTATAAACCATTTGCATCACCCAGTGACCGTCAGAAGTGGGCAGCGGCCTTGTTTCAGCCAATGAAATATAAGGAGCAGGGGCTGGTTTCACATCAGAGCAAATTCTAACTTTCCACATCCTTCCAATATATTTCATAGACTTGCCATATTCTAAGAAGTGCGTGCTCTTCCAGTCGGGTGCCAGAGTGAAATAATAACACGATAAATGTTCTCTCTTGGAAGTCCACTCATTGTTGTTGTTGCTCAGTGCCATCAAGTCTCCTGAAACTCATAATTATCCTGTATACAATAGCTCTGATCCTGGCCTGTCCTGAGCCAATCTCTACTACAACTACCCCCATTGCCATACTTCCTGTATCAATCTTTCACATCCGGGGTCTTCCTCTCCTGCACTGTCCCACAGCCCTTCCAAGCATTATATCCTTCTCCAAGGACTGGTCCCTCCTAGCCACGTGCCCCAAAGTATGTGAAATAGAGCTTCAAAATCCTTGCTTCCAAGGAGAAACATGGCTTCACCCTCTCCAAGATAGTCCTATTAGTCTTCTTCTTCTTCTTCTTTTTTTTTTTGAGAGCTTAGGTGCATTCATTAAACCTATTAGTCTTCTTTGCTGTCGTAGTATGTTCAAGACTCTTCACCAGCACCAAAATACAAAGGTATCAACTCTTCTTCTGTCATCCTTAGTCATTGTTCAGTTCTCTGACAGAAAGCAAGTAACTGCAAAGACCATGGTCTGGATCCAGCGCACCTTAGTCTCTAGTCTGACATCATTGCTTCTTAGTACTCCAAAAAGGTTCTTGACAGCAGATTCTCCCAGTGTAATTTGTCTTTTGATTTTCTGATAGTTGGTACCGAAAGTATTGATTGTGGAGCCAAGGAAGCTATAATTGTTAACTATCTCAATCTCTTCCCCATCTATCATGGTGTGTGAATTGGCCCAGTAGTGAGAATCTTTGTTTTCTTGAGGTTGAGCTTCAATACATATTGAAGACTACTGTCCTTGACCTGCAGCAAGCACTTCAGGTCCTCCTCAGTTTCAGTAAGCAAGGTTGTATCATCTGCATAATGTAGAGTGGGGACATAAAGAAGTAAATGTTCATACACATATTTCTATCTTCACTGAGTCACATACTGTTATAAACTAAAATTATTAAAATTTGAAAACCAATTTTGTTGTTGTTAGGTGTTGTCAAGTACAAGCCATAGCAAGCCTATAAACAATAGATCTGAGCCCTGTTCTATTCTGTGCCGTCCTCACAGTCTCTAACACACACGAGCCCTTTGCAGCAGTCATGGGTCAATTCATCTGATTGAGAGTCTTCCTTTCTATCACCAACCATCCACATTTCCAAGCATAATGTCCCTTTCCAAGGAACAGTTTCTCCTAGCAACATGCTCAAAGCATGTGAGATGAAGCTTTATTTTCTTTCATTATTATTTTATTTCTTTATTATCTTTAGCATTCAGGCTGTACCTTCTCCAAGCCATATTTATTTATTCTTTTGAAAGTCCATAGGATATTCAGTACTCTTCTCCAACACCATAGCTCAGAGGCATCAACTCTTCTTGTTATCTTTATTTCAGCTCCCAGATGCAGAGCAAGTGATGGAAAAGACCATGGCCTGAATCAGACTCATGTTAGTCCTCAAACTGCAATACCTCTTCTAATCTCCTGACTGCTGGGCCAAGGATGTTGACTGTGGATCCGAGAAAGTTTAAGTTGTTGAGAATTTCAATCTTTTCTCCAACTGTCATGGTATTGCTCAGTCTTGAGAATCTTTGCTTCCTTGATGTTGAGATTCAATTCAAATTGAAGGCTGTATACTCTGATAATTAAAAGAACACCTTGTTTAAAAATGATAACAACAATTCTTTTATCAACACAGTTAGGTTCCAAAGGCTAAGTTATCATGTGATAGCCAGCATCATGCAAAACTGGGTTGGATCACATAAAATAGCAAAGAGGACAGCTCTGCTGGTCTAGTGACCTAGAAGGTATGTTGCAATGTTGAAGGCATGCAGTTCAAATCCACCTGCTGCTCCATGGGAGAAGGATGGCCAAGCTACTCCTGTGTGATTAAACCACCTCTGAAAATCTGCTGGAGGTTCAGCAATGGGTTAAGTTCTGACTGGACCTCACACAACAAAAACAACACCATTACACGGCTGCCAGATCACTATGATGTCGCTGATGTTGTTGTTATGTGTTGTCAAGTTGACTATGATTCCTGGCGACTGTGTCTCTAACTTGTGTCATTTTCTCAATCTCTGCTATGCGTGAGCCCTGTGCTGCAGTCCTGTGTCAATCCACCTTCTGTTTAAATGACTCTCTCCTTTTCTGTGTATGATGTCTCTTTCCAAGGACTGTTCCTTCCTGACAACACACCCACAATATATGGGACAAAGGTTTCCCATCCTTGCTTCGAAGAAGCACACTGGTTACACTTCCTCCAAGACAGTTTTATTTGTCGTTTTAGTAGTCCATGGGATATCTAATGTGCTTCATCAATATATTTAAAAGGCATTAATTCTTCTTTATGCACTTCATGATCTTCCTTATGCACTGTACAACTTTCATATGCATATGAAGCAATTGAAAATACCATGGCTTGGTCAGGTGCACCTTAAGTCTTTAAAATGACATCCTTATCCTGTAGTGCATTGTTCTGTACCTGCCAGATTGCATCAGTATATAAATGCCACATTATATTACATAAATGCCAAACCACTGAAAATTATGGTCCAGCCAGGGTGACACATAACCTGTATCTACAGCTACTATTATTGTTGCTTCCACGTATGCATTCCTTATTGCTGTTACGCTGTTGTGTAAGCACCCAAAAGAGTAGGCTGATAGATATTTTACATGCATAGAAAACAGGAAATGTCAGATAATAATAGGTTAATAAGTGAGGAGTAGCTGGGCAATACTGTAATTACAAACACCAGTATTTTAGTCCTTGGCAGAGTCAATGGCACAGAGGTTCAATGCAAAATGGTTTTAACAAAGTACACTTCTATAAAAGTGCATAATTGAGAGTCATAAGCCCTCATCCCTTCATTTCTATTGAATCTGACTGACTTACAGCTGGAATTCTAGTGGGTTTTAGTGGTAGTAAATCACATAGGAGGAAAATGACCATCATTCTCCCACAGAGCCACCGGTGGATGGAAACCACCAGAGACACCACCGTTAGGCTATCATAACTCCCTACAGTCTACACCATGCCACCAGACTGCCTTCTAAGTGAAAAAATTAATAAAGTAATTTTTTGAATGTATATTTAGTGACCTTAGTATTATTCTCATTACATTATTGTTTTATTCTCATTACATTATTGTTGTTGTATACCGTAGAGTCGGAACCAACTTATAACTGACCCTCTGGCAGGTTTTCAGAGGCAGTTAATTGCACTGGAGGAGATTGTCCACATGATCTCTGTGTGTGTGTGTATGTACATACATACACACACACGTTGTTATGTGCCGTCAAGTTGCTTGCAATGCATAGTGATCCTATATATAGTAAAGCAGAACCCTGCTCCATCTCGAGCCAATTTCATTGTCTCCAACACACCTACTCCCATTAACCCAGCCATAGTTCAATCAATCTTATCCAGGGCCTTCCACTCTTGTGCTGTCCCTCCACCCTTCTCAAAGGACTAGTCCATTCTGGCAGCATGCCTGAAATATGTGAGGCAGCACTTCAAAATCCTTGCCTCCAAGGAGCAGCCTGGGTTGACCCTCTCTAGGATGAATCTGTTTGTTTTCTTGGCAGTCCATGGTACATTCAATACTCTTCTCCAGCACCAGAACTCAAATGCATCAATTATTCTTCTGTCATCCTTAGCCATTGTCCAGCTTTCTGATGCATAGCAAGCAATTGCAAAGATTATGGCTTGGATCAGGTGCACCTTAGTCTCTAGGTTGACATCCTTGCTCTTCAGTACTCAGAAGAGGCTTCTGATAGCATATTTTCCTAGTGAAATTCCCCCCCCAACCCAAGACTGTTGATTGTGGAGCCAAGCAAGATGGAACTATTAACAATCTCAACTTATTCTCCATCTGTCATGATGCTGCCAATTGGCCCTTTGGTAAGAATCTTTGTTTTCTTGATGTTGAACTTCAGTCTATATTGAAGGCATCAGTCCTTGACCTTCTGCAGCAAATGTCTCAGGTCCTCCTCAGTTTCAGCAAGCAAGGTTGTGTCATCTGCATATCACAGGTTGTTGATGAATCTTCCTCCTATTTTTTTTTATTTTTCATTTCAATGAGCATCTACAGAGATTTTGGAATTCCATTCATTCATTGTTGCACCCTTCTCCCCACACAAACCTCTTCCTCCTATTCTGATGTCACACTCCTCTTCAGAAAGTCCAGCCTCCCAGACCTGGAGACACACACACACACACACACACATCCATATACAAGTTGTTTGCTGTTATAGTTGATTGCTGTTGAGTCAAGCACAACTTATAGCGATC